TTGCTATTGGGGTCTTTGAGAGTCGCCTTGGTGTTGCACTATTGCCTTGGCCTGGCTCACCCCTCCAATTCTAGTTTAAAAATGTCATTTGCAGTTGAAGTTCAGAAGCAAAGTTTGAGTTTTCAAGTTGCTCATATATACAATCTACTGCATTGTGTAGTTGCTCAATATGCACCAACGTATTTACTGTTTTCGGAAACTAAACCTGAAATTTGTTTTCTCCATCTCTTGGCTAAGAGTCGTGTTGGTGTTGCATTACAACCTTGGACTGACTTACCCCTCCAATGCCATAAAAAACATTTTTCAGGACTCTTTGAGTCTATTTAGCCTCGTTTTGCGTTATAAGAATCCATTTTCTGCCTCGTGATTCTAATGCTTTTTTTAGTTGCAGAAAGGTAGTTTCTAGAGATGGTGCAATTGGCAAAGACCCTTGTTGTGCAGGCAAAATTTTGTATATTTGGTTCGAAGCACTTGCTAGTCAATATCACGACATTATGGTTGATAAAATAGTTGTAAATTTACCATAATTTTGTTTCAGCACTGTCTGTTTAGGCAATTGCAGAAAACAGATATAAGTTACTGTTTAACTTGGGAAAATAGTTGATTATCCCAACTTCAACCGGCCCCACGCGGAACCCGCCTCCAAAGACAACCATTGGGTGTGTTGGGTTCGAAAGTCTATCCTCTTCCTCCTCAAATAGAGATTTTTTCTTTCGACCATATTTCGATTGCGAAACTATTGTCAATGTAGGAGTCCCCATCCGTCGAGAGAGAAGCACCTTAAGGAAGATACGAGATTTTTGATTTAAAAGTTTCTTATAATTTAATTCAAATAACAAGAGATGTGCAAAAAGCGGGTCCGATTATGGGACATATTTTGGCTCACTAAGCGATTGAGGCTAGTGGGGGGCCTAGGATCGAACCCAATTACTAACATATGATGGCAAATTAATTAGCAAGCAGCCAAATCCTCATCATCATTTTGGGCATAATCTTGAAACTTGGTGCTGTAGCTACAGGTTCTTGAATGATAATGCTGGTATGACGAGAGGCTATTCCTTACAGAACAAAAGGATTGATATGTAGGCCATTGGCTTACTCGATATTATGGTATGAGCCTGCTTTTTTTCTTTCGAGTTGGAGCGTATCAAACAGTAGGCAGAAGATAGAAGTGAAGCAACCAGTTTAGGTGTGTCCCACATAGCCTAAGCGATAGAAAACATACAACTATTGAGTAGCTTTAAAAACCAAGGCTTGAGAAGGAGAAAAGCATACCTTTCTCGGCCTTTTGGCTAAGATCAAGTGTAGTATCTGTTCTTATCAGTTTAATATCTGATATGTGAGCCATTGGCTCACTCGATATTAATCTTATTTTTTATGGGGAAAGACTCGTCACAATAGCTTGCTATTGGGGTCTTTGAGAGTCGCCTTGGTGTTGCACTATTGCCTTGGCCTGGCTCACCCCTCCAATTCTANGCACTATTGCCTTGGCCTGGCTCACCCCTCCAATTCTAATTTAAATCCTTTGCATTTTAAGTTCACTAATCACTATTGCTATTGGGGTCTTTGAGCGTCTGCTGCACTATCGCTTTGGCTTGGCACACTCCTCCGGTTCGAGTTAAAAAAGTTTGTTTTGGTTTGGTTATTAAGTGTAACTGTTTCTTTTCTTTGAGAACGTATTTAATTAGTCATTACCCATACCCAGCCCAGCCTGCACCAGGCTTATGTCATGCAGGCTCTTCGCATAATTGGATCGTAACCAAACAGATACAGGCGTACAAAGCCAAGAGATGGAGAAAAGAGGTTCCGGGTTAAGTATCCAGAAACAGTAATTCGTTAACTAGTGCATATTTGCCGGTAGATTGTTGGTGAGATCTCTAAGATAATAAGATCTGCGATAAAAGGTGTCGTTCATTTTCGCTGTTTCCTATCAGACATATGAGAGTCTTAGAGAAGTTCACTACTCTTTATAGGTTGCATGGGTTTTTTTTCTAGGCAAGAGGGGGAGATCTTGATTAGTTATGAAATGCTAGTGTCACAATACAAAAAACTATAGCACTTGAATTATTTTTTATGGGGAAACGCCCATTACATAGCTTGCTATTGGGGTCACTGACAGTTGCTTTTGAAAGGCCCATTACAATAGCTTGCTATTGGGGTCGTTGAGAGTCGCTTTGGCGTTGCACTACTGCCTTGGCCAGGCTCACCCATCCGATTCTAGTTTTAAAATGTCCTTTTGTGGTTAATAAAATAGTTGCAAGTTTACCATGATTTTGGTTCAGCACATCTGTTTAGACAATTGCAAAACACAGTTATAAAATATTGTTTAATTTGGACAAAAAGTTGATTACAACCAACTTCAACTGCCTCCAACAACACCAATGTGAAGGGAAATTTTGACTCACTCAACGGCTGACAAACATATGAGGGCATATTAATTAGAAACCTGGTGCTTTGGATCTAGGTTCTGGAATCCAATTACTAAGCCAGATCATCAACATCATTTTGGGCATAATCTTGAAACTTGGTGCTTTAGATCCATGTTCTTGAATGATAATGTTGTCCAACTATCAATTCGGTATTTTAGAGATGTATAAGACTCGGGCTTTTCGTGCTTGGTCCTGGGCCTTTCGAGCCCGTTTTCCAGTAAGCAGAAATAGTCCGGGATCTTTAGGGTCTAGGCTGGGCTTTGGGATTGAAAGAGGGCCTGATCAAACTTTTTCAGGTCGGTCCTTTTTGGACCGGATTTTGAGTGTCGCTAAGATCAAGTGTAGTATATGTTCTTATCAGTTTAATATCTGATATATAGTCAAATTAATATTAATCTTATTTTTATGAAGAAAGACCCATCATAATAAGCTTGCTATTGGGGTTTTTGAGTGTGGCCTTGGTGTTGCACAGTTAAGAAAATCATAAAAATCTGGAATGATCTTTCTGTGCAAATCGTTTGCAAGAAAAAAGAAATACCAAATATAATGACAAACATGCTTCAATTGAAATGGAACAAAATGGATCACAAATGTTTTATGACGTCACAATAAACATATAAAAAGTTAAGAAACACAGGCATTTAATGTGATTCGAGACTTATAAAAAGCAAGTTTAGAGCATCTCCAATAGTTATGTTAAAATAAAGAAAAGATGAATTTTTGAATTTTTAGCATTTTTGTTGCTTCGACAAATATGCTATCTTTTATACTAAAATAGAGAAAAGATGAGAGAGATTGTAAAAATATCTAAATTTGGAGAAATCTCTAAAACTCTATAGAAGAAAGAGAAATAATATGTTAATTATACCCAACCAATTAAATTATCTATACTATATTATAAAACATTTGATAAAAACTTTAAAAAACCATTTTTTATGAATGAAGTACTGTTTATTGATGCATATTACTTAAAATTCAAGATTACAAGTAAATTATGCATAAGTACAACTTATTAAAGCTCTATGTTTGAATTCGTGTAACTAACTGCAGATAAACATAACCAAATAGAGGATAAACATCTCATTTTAAAATCTAAAAAATCTAAAATATAATTAGGATAATTATTGAATTCTAACAGAATACTTAATTATTATCTTTATAAAAATATATATTATTAAACCTAAATTAAGTTATTTCGTTACGATGAATTA